AATTTTTGCTGAAATGTTTTGAGCCAATCAGATATTTTCTGGATATGTCACATAGAAATAATTAATCCTTTATTAATTCTTAATCATCTATTCAAAGCTGTTGTTAATGGTGCTTATATAATTTCCAGTAAAAATGAAAAGTTATATAATTGCAGGGAACCCTAATTGCCTTGGCATCTTTCTCAGAGGGAAGGCTAGTGGACAAGCTATCTTCAGCTGCCCTTCTGAGTCCAGTAGCCTACCTCGATCACATGAAAACAAAATTAGGCATTCTTGCTGCCAAGCTCTTCGTGGGTGAGGTAATTAACTATTTTTATTCCTTCAATAATTTATCAGATTTTTATAACTCTTAAATCAGCCAACTTATTTATTTTCCATAGAGTGAAAGTGATTAGCCTAATTAATTTTGATTAATTAGATTACTGTTTAATCTAATAAGGTTACATTCTCCTTGATTAGATCTTGAGTAATTTGCTAGGACTGGCAGAATTCGATCCCAAAGGGTAAGAAATAAGAAATTAATCTGAATTAACCATGAATATGTAAAAACACCACTTTTAGTTCTCTCATTTATAATTAGTTCTTCAAGCAAAACTTCATTTACAGGTTGGAAGCATCCAAGTGCTTGAACAAACTTTGCAGTTATCCTGGTGTGAACTGCTATGATCTCCTCACCGCATTTACAGGTATAATTTTTTAATATACATACCTCATAATTGTTTTCTATTCGCATATTTAACAGCCGAAGATTGATATTTACATTTTTAGACCCGGGTGTCAAAAACTTACGGATGAAAAATGTGTATTTAATGTTTAAAAGGAAAATGATTGTGATATTAAATATTTGAGCGGTATATATATATATATATATATATGAAAATATCAATGTTGAGGTGTTTGATATGTAAATAAAGAAAGTGTGAATCTTATGTGGGTGTGTATGTGAGCCCAACGCGAAAAATTATTACGTCTGCAGTATTCTGGACGTTGAGGTACGTCCGGAGTCCAATAAAATCACGTCACGTGATGGTGACAAAAAAATAAAAAAAAATTATTTTAAAACAAGGGAATTATCTCCTGTGTTATTCCGCGTTATTCAGATGTTATTGT